TTTTTTTTTGTTGTTGCAGTTTGGCTGGGGTCAGGTTTGAACCTGTCACCCTCGGTATATGGGGCCGGCGCCCTGAGTTACTCACTGAGCCAGAAGCACCATCCTAGGCCCCCAACTATTATTGCCAACCCAATCAGTCAGGGATTAACATTTCCATGCTTCTCTGAGACCAGTCTCAGATCTTACCCCACACAGCACTAATGGTGGCAAACAGACCTGTGTCTTGAAAGAAAAGAATACACTTGGACCCAAGAAAGTCAGGTACCCAAGGCAGAAACTATCAGGGAGGTATGCTGGGGCAGAAACATCTTTGCACATCATTCAGTAAGAGACAAGGGCACTGCTGATCAGCCAGGTCCCTTTCCACACGCCTATCACCTGCGATGATCAGCTTTGGGTGGAAGAGGCGGGCATTTTCCTCCAGCTGGTCATAGTTGATGTAGCCAGTATCTGGGTTCACCTGCAAGACATCAGAGAGATGTGGCTCAGGCTACTTCGTCTTGCGCACTGTGCCTCCTGCCCTCCCACATGAGCTCACTCCACCCCCCATGACAACAGGAGATGTACCAGATGAGGACTGGAGGGTGAGACAGGTATATTCAGCTTGACAGTTGGTATAGACCAGTGGTCCCCAACTGTCCTTTGGCACCAAGGACCAATTTCATGGAAAACAATTTTTCCATGAACCGGGGTAGGGTGGTGGTGGAGGTGGGGATGGGTTCCGGATGATTCAAGCACATTACATCTCCAGCTCAGATTGTCAGGCATTAGATTCTCACAAGGAGCCCACAACCCAGATCTTTCACATAAACAGTTTACAGTAGGGTTTTGGCTCCTATGAGAATCTAATTCTAATGACCTGATAGGAGGCAGAGCTCAGGTGTGTCTGTGAGCAATGAGGAGTGGCTGTAAATACAGAGGAAGCTTCCTCACTCACCTGCTCATCTCCTGTTGTGCTGTTACCATGGCATGGGCACTGGAGGCCAAAAACTCAAGACCTACAAGGTCCTGAGAAGTCCCAGGGCAAAAATTGAGCCCTCTCCCTAGGTCACTACCCTTGGATGAGAAGGAACCAAAAAGCCCCTGGACAATGAACCAGACACGGCACCCAGACACACACAACGCAGACTGAAGAACAGTTACCTTCAGGAATGAGACAGAAAGGCCTGCCACCACCACCTCTACTCCAAGTATAATGAGGCAAGAAAAAAATAAAAGGCTAAGGATTAGGAAAAAGAAATATAACAAACTGACATTACTCACAAACAACGTGGCTGCATACCTAGAAAAGTTAAAAGACTCTGGGCAAACCATTAGAACTGAGTGAACCTGACAAGGTCACTAGACATACCATTGAAAAATAACAATTATGGCTCAGCGCCAGCCACACACACCAGAGGTGGTGGGTTCATATCTAGCCTGGGCCAGCTAAACAACAATGATACTACAACCAAAAAAGGGCTGGGCTTTGTGGCTGGCACCTGTGGTCCCAACTACTTGGGAGGCTGAGGCAATAGAATTGCTTAAGCTGAGGAGTTGAAGGTTGCTGTGAGCTATGATGCCTAAGCACTCTACCCAGGGCAACAGCCTGAGGCTCTGTCTCAAAAAATATAAAAATAAAAATAAAAATTATATATGTATATAAAACCACAAAGAGAACAGAAAATGAAATTTTAGTATTATTATATTAGTATGAAAAACCACAGCATATCTAATTAAAGATCTATCAGACCTCTTACCAAAACATTGAAAACTTTTTTTAAACAGTCTCACTCTGTTGTCCACACTGGAGTGCAGTGGCGTCATGGGCAAGTCCACGCCGCTTTTTTGTCCACATGGATACCCAGTGACCTGGTACCATTTATTGGAAAAGTCATTTTCTCTCCCATAGTCCTGTGGTGTCACTATTATCATTGAACTGATGACCTGTCATGAATGTTCTGTTTCTAGGCCCTCTCTGTTTCATCAGATTGTTTTCCTTTCCACAGATACATGCTGCCTTAATTATCATAAGTTTTCAAGTATTTTTAAATTTCTCTCAGTCGGGCTGGGTGCAGTGGCTCATGCCTACTATAATCCTAGCACTCTGGGAAGCCAAGGCCAGTGGATTGTTTGAGCTCAGGAGTTCAAGACCAGCCTGAGCAAGAATGAGACCCCATCTCTACTAAAAATGAGAAAACTAGGGCGGTGCCTGTGGCTCAAGGGAGTATGGTGCCGGCCCCATATACCGCCCTGGCCAAAAAAACTGCAAAAAAAAAGGGAAAACAAGCCTGGTGTTCTGGCCGGCACCTGTAGTTCCAGCTACTTAGGAAGCTAAGGCAGGAAGATGGCTTGAGCCCAGGAGTTTTCAGTGTCAATGGGCTCTGATGATGCCACTGCACTCCAGCCTGGGCAACAGAGTGAGACCATGTCTCAAAAACAAAACAAACAGGGTGGCACCTGTGGCTCAGTGAGTAGGGCACAGGCCCCTTATACTGAGGGTGGCAGATTCAAACCTGGCCCCTGCCAAACTGCAACAAAAAATAGCCGAGCATTGTGGCAGCTACTGTAGTCCAGCTACTAGGAAAGCTGAGGCAAGGAAATTGCCTAAGCCCAAGAGCTAGAGATTGCTGTGATGCCATGGCACTCTACCAAGGGTGACAAAGTGAGACTCTGTCTCTAAAAAACAAAATAAAACAAAGCACCTTTATGGACAAAATAAAACAAAATGGCTTATGCACCGGAGCTTGAAGGTTTGAATCTAGCCCAGGCCTGCCAAATACAACAATGACAACTACAACCAAAAAAGAAAAAAACGGCCGGGCATTGTGGCAGGCACCTGTGGTCCCAGCTACTTGGGAGGCTGAGGCAGGAGGATTGCCTAAGCCTGGGAGTTTGAGGTTGCTGTGAGCTGTGATGCCATAGCACTCTACCCAGAGTGACAGCTTGAGACTCTGTCTCAAAAAAAAGAAAAAAGAAAAGAAAAGAAAATTATTAAAATGACATCCATTCCAGATGGATTCCAGATCTAAATATGAAATGTAAAACAATTTTTTTTTAGCAACACATTTCTTAGATAGTTCAGTTTATTAAAATTCTTTGAAAACACATAGGTCAAGAGGAAGCAAACAGCACCAAAGGGCAGTGCTGCAGGGAACTGGGGTCCAGAGGCCTCCAGAAGCAGTGGGGAGAGAAGTACCCGTCCAGATGCCCCTGCCCCCAGCTTTCCTTCCTCACCCGCTTGGCCCCACCAGCAATACTAGCATATCTGGAGTGAAAGGTTTTGGGTCTGGTAGTCTTTCCAAATAAAAAAGGCACTTAGAATCTAATACAATTCCAGAGGTGAGTGTGAAAGGTTCCGTAATGAAGCCTCATGTGGAGAGTCAGGTTCAAAGATGATTTGTGCTTTTGTTTTGTGTCTTTTGCCTCAAGGGTGTGCTTCTTTCTCAAGCACCTGAACTGGGCAAAGAAACTGCTACCTTGATGAAATATTAACAACTGACTTACAGTAGAAAACTGGGCATAATTCTACATACTTTTTTTAAAAGCCATAATTATAATAAAAAAAGAATCTGTGTTGCCTTCCTTCATGGTTTGCTTTTTAAATTTGTCAGGGTTTTTTTTTTTTTTTTTT